AAAAACATCTTCTTGTGAAGAGCATGAATCACTGGCCATGACTCCGTTAGAACAAGTCCTCTGCATCTGGTGCAGACTCGACGTGTCCCCTGTTTCGAAATAGGAGTTCATATTGTCATTATCACCGGCCAGCTCTTCAACCTTAAGGGGAAGGTGGATCGAGCTCAGCGAGTCCGAGGTTATGATTGAGTCGGAGGACGGATATGTATGGATACCTATCCGAGGCACACCGGGAAGAGGCGTCATCAGCTCGGTAAGGGCAGCGTTGGAGTCGTTCAAGTTCGCGTAGTAACCGTCAGGGAGCTCTGGTGCAGAGAAGCGCCCTTCGATCTGTTCTGAGGGATGGATTGGAACGCTCTTCTCATCCCCTCTGGAACGGAAAGTGGCCAGATCGACATTGAGCTCATCGCCTTGAGCTCTAGCCAGTTCGATAGCCTCCTCAGGCGAAGTGTGCTCATCAGCGGTGGCGGCATCGGCTCTCGGTCCTCCCCATGTACGCTGGCCCGCAGTGAGGATTCCATACACCATATACAGCCAGTTGAAGAAGGGATTTAGGATAAACATCAGCGGGAAAAGCCAAGCCTTGTAGCGCTTGAGCTTCGCACCCAAGTAGAACATGAGGACGTAGTTGAGTCCCAGCGATATGGCAATAAACCCCACGGGCAGGTCATTGATGCTGCTCGACGTTGTTATAAGTGAGAGCGCGATGATGAAAAACAGCAGTGCGGTTGTTCGGATTGTGTTTTGCATAAAACGGACCAGGCAGAGCAGTGGGTAGCGCTTCCAAAGCCGCACATCAGTCAGCATACACACTTCGTTGGTTATGAAACCCAGAAACCAGCGCCGACGCTGCTTTAAAAGACTACTGAATGTCTGCACTGCCTCGGTCTTGCAAAAGGCGCCAGCGCACATCTGTATTTGATAACGTTTCCGAGCGCCTACCATGAACAAGTGCGTGAGCCAGCGATCTTCTCCAAGATGACACTTCCCATAGTCAAAAAAGTCCTCGCATTGCTCCGCTTTGTCCGCGAAGTAGTACTTGGCCATTTTACGAAAGGCAGAGAACCGGAGCATCGTCAGAGCCCCGGGGAGGCAAGTCACAGCGCCGCAGCTAGATTCCACAGAGCGCTCGAAAAGTTGCCCATGGACATACTCCATGTCCTGCAGAAGCGTGAGGAGCGAGCCTCGATCTGTGGTCGACGTAATGACACCCGTCATTGCTAACATGTCGTGTTTGCTCCCTGGCTTCAACTCCATATCGTACATGAAGTTTTGCAGACATACACGGTCAAGGATGCAGTCGGAGTCAATGAATAACACGAAAAGATTGTCATGACGCTCCAGATAATCCGCATATACCATATCGATCAGTCTGAACGTTTGCTTCTGGCAATGTCGTTTTCCCCCATGTTTGAATCGAGACACTGTAATTCTGGCGCCCTTGTATGTCACGTCTATGCTTTGCGGATAGCTCTCCAGCGTGATTGGAATTCCAAGGTGGTCAATCACCCGAAGATAGGATTCATCAATGAGGCAGCCATCGTAAGAGAGGAACACATGGATACAGTTAGCTGGATAATCGCAATCAACCACAGAATCGATTGCCCTTATTAACGTTTCAGGGGCCTCCTTATAGACTGGCATAACAACAACCGTTTTTGGAGCGGTTCGGTCATCCAAAACCTGCTTGATACGCTTGGTCCTGCCCGGTGAATGTGTCACCAGTCTGTAGACGCACAAAAGCCAAGGAATTATAAGCAGCGCGGAAAACATCCCGAATGCGAACCATTGGAGTATAAGTACCATCTGAGCGGGGAAACGTCGTCTTAAATGAGCTGGGAGGGGGAGGGTCACGATCATGACAGGCAGAAAGATTCCCCTGGGTGCCGAATTAGCATGCATAATATATTCGAGATGGCTCGTCATATTGAAGCTCACCTCAGTAATGTGAAGAGGACGATCATGGTAACCGCGAGGAATCTGATGCTCCAGTGATCCGCTTTTTGATAGACCTTGGCAAGGCAGTATAAGAACGCAGCGATCCAGAGGAACCATTCCAAGAATGCTGCCAGTACCAGTGGCGAGACGATCGTAAGATATATTATCTAGGCGTCTTGTGAGATCAAATCCAGTGCATTCAACTGGTGAACCAACTCACATCTGTGATCGACCACGGGTTCGGAGAAACCGAACTGCTACTTTCAGCCATCGCTGGATGCTGTATGTAGGTCTTCCTTCCAAATTCCAGTGACAGCGTTGAAGGATGCAATAAAGTTGAGACGTTCGACTGAAGCTTCGGTAAGCAACTACTTGCCGCTGGCTTGCTTGATCAACTGGGGCCTAGCTGAGCATCGATTAACGGGTCTATTGGCAGACCTTCAGTTCGATGCCAGGGCTAGTCACCTGCTCACGTCCAGAGGTGCTTGCAGAACGGATAGAGCAAGTCCGGGCCGCCAGATGATCTGCTCAAGCTGACAAGAAATCACAGGGAACCGATCAGAGCAGTTGCAAATTGGAGAGACGTCAAACAACGGGGCAATCGCTACTCTTCAAACCACTGGAGTTTAATCCAAAATCGAGCAAAGTAATGATGTATTCTGAATTAGACACACAAGAGTCATAAAGTTTCTCAGCACTAAAGACACTCAGCGTCGTTTGTGGCAACAGACTCCCATAATCCAGTATGGAAGGCACGCTCAAACGAGGCACCCTGACTTCGTGATAGGGCGTCCATGTTGGGCCTGGACCAGCGGGCGCAAAGCAGAAAAGGCAATAGCACTGTTCGTATACATGATCCAGTCCCCTTGACATCCGAGAGCATAATTTAGCCCTCCTTGCCCTAGTGGATTGTCGATAATAATGAGTTTGGAGTCGAGATGCCCTCCGGAACTTACTCTACGCATATCGAATCTCCCAAAAGGGTTAGTCTTTCTGCCTCGTAATTGAGGTGTCTATGGAGTATCATCCTCGTATCAGGACTATGAGCCGCATGCGCCACAGACCTCGATTCTCCATGTGGCTGAAGCTCCGCAGTGTTCAGAAAATTTCCCCCCGCCGTGCATTATTATTCGCCTTTAAGATTTTCTTTCTTCTAACCAGAGGAAAGTCCGATTCTCACTGTGTGCAGAAGCGTCTTCTTGAACTTTCTTCTACTACTGCATATTTTTTTTTCTCTAGACTACAAGGCTTTTTAATTGGAGGTAAGACTACTATGTTGTGCATCGCTTATGCTTCGCGCGACTCGCGCGGAGTCGTATCGAATTTGGACTACGCGGAGTTGACTCACATTTATCTATTGTCACCTTCTGTTCGATAACTTTGAAATCATTTGACCGTCTTTTGTTTTGAATCCGGAGGTCGAGAATAATTCGTTTGTGTGCTGACCTAGTCTGATCGAGTACAGCACCTGCGCGGCCCTTTTCTCCCATTCTCTCTTTCCGCTTATACGGTGTTGAAGCACTCGGAATAAATTTGCAGCCATGGCCGACGAGCAGAAGGTTACCCCCGCGGCCACCAACGCGAATGCTGAGGCCGAGAAGGATGTTCAGAACGTTTTGGCAGAGCTGAAGGACGAAACTGCCGGGGAAGCTGCCAAGCCTTCCGAGCAGCCCGCAGAAGAGAAGAAGGGTGAAGCTCCCGCAGAAGATGCAGAGGAGGCTCGCATTGTAGCCGCCGCTGCGAAGCTCGGCGAACAGTCGGCGAAAGCTGAGGAGCAGAAGGAGGGCAACACCGAGGAGCGCGATACGCGGGGCCGTGGAAACCGTCGCAACAACGTCAAGTTTGATCCCTCCACGCTGGAGGTCACAGACAACCACGATGAGATCCGCAAGCAGGTCGAATTCTACTTCTCTGACTCAAACCTTCCCATGGACAAGTTCCTTCTTTCCAAGGTGGGCGGAAGCAGCAACCGCCCCGTTCCCCTCGAACTTCTTCATTCTTTCAAGCGCATGCGTCGCTTCCAGCCCTTCAGCGCCATTGTTGAGGCTCTGAAATCCTCTGAGACTCTCGAGCTGACCGATAACGACACTTGCGTGCGCCGCAAGGTGCCTCTTCCTGAATCTGTGACCGAGAACCCCGACCCCAGCGTGGCCAAGGTTTTCGAAGACCAGGCCATGAGCCGTAGCATCTACGCCAAGGGCTTCGGAGAGGAAACTCCTACGACCCAGATCGACATTGAAGCCTTCTTCGCTCCCTACGGACCAGTCAACGCAATTCGTCTCCGCCGCACACACGATCGGATCTTCAAGGGAAGCGTTTTTGTTGAGTTCGCGACTGAGGAGAAGCAGAAGGAATTCCTTGCTCTGGATCCTAAGCCCCAGTGGAAGGGGCAGGATCTGCTCATCAAGAGTAAGAAAGATTACTGTGAGGAGAAGGTTCGGGACATCGAAGCTGGCCGCATCAAGCCCAGCCGTGGCCGTGGTCGTGGTGGTTTCCGTGGACGCGGCCGTGGAGGACCCCGCGGTGGTGACAAGCGCGACTGGCGCGAGCGTCGGGCAGAAGATCAGAAGAACGGCTTCGGCAAGCCTCAGGGCGAGCAGCGCCGTGAGGTCCAGAAGGATGCTCGGTATGTTGTAGCCTCTTTCCCCTGGTCTTGCAGCATTTGACTAATCCGCTTATAGTGGCGTTCCCGTCGTGCAGAGCTCCGCCGATGATGCTACAGCTGGCCAGAAGCGGACCCGCGAGGACGAGGCCGCTGCCAACGGCGAGCACCCTGCCAAGAAGGTCGATGCCAAGGAGTAATGGCTTTGCTCTCTTCTGCTCAAGTTTCCCCGACTGGTCTCACCCTTCCTTCATCACGGAGCTAATGGTTTATTCCCATTTGTTATGGTACAACAAAAGCACTTGCGTCTTTTGCTGCTGGTTTCTTAATGGCGTTGTATATCATTTGTTGTCATCATTGATACTTGGAAGTTATTCTTTGCAGGATCTAGCAAATGGTCATGATAGAATTTTGGCTCTTCAGCCTCCACCCACCGCACTTGCACTTATACTCTCGTAAATCAATTCTCGAACTCCAAGTCATACGCCAGCGTATCGTCACACAACTCCTCTCTCAGCTTCGACACCCTACAGCCCCGAATTAGCCAATTCAAACACGCCTTTCACAAGGGAGGCGGAAACAAACTCAAGGTGGACCGGATGCGTAGCGTAAGAAGCCACAGCGTCGGGCGACTCCATCACAGCCACAATCCCCATATCAAACCCCTTGGCACGGGGAACACTGATAGGCAACGGCTGGCCGGCCTTCAGCGAAACCAAACCGGGGATTCTACCCACCATGCTCTCCGCAACAGTGACCCAGTTGGCGAGCTGCGCCTGCGTGACGCCTGGCTTGAGGCGGAAGAGAACTGCCACTGGTCAATCATCCGCTTTGGTGGCAGCAGGGTAGCAGGGTACGCACCGATGTGGTAGACTGGCATTTCTTCGGTTTAGACTTCTCTCTATCGATTTATCGATTTATCTATTACTTGATTAGTCGACCAGTTGCGGCCCTGCAGGAGCAGCGGGCTCTTATATAGATGGGACGGAATGTTTCTTAGGGATGCTTCTCGGACCGGGGAGGGGTCGCGGAATCGGGTTATCGCCGATTGGTGGAATCATTTGATTTTGGACGGCTTTGAATGATCTTCCGTAGATGAAACGGGCAATTGGTCTGTTGCAGCCATCTTGCTTGCAGCGTTAACTCTGAAACTAGGCTGTGAGCCTCCTTGTGGTGAAGGATTCCCGGGTCGACCGTGGCTGCCAGAATTGGTGGACAAGTGAGCATTTAGTACAAATGGCCTGATAGAGCAATCTCACTGTCAAATGACTACAAGGGAGTTTCATGTTAAAGAGCCTGGGAGTCAAGTCTACCGTTATGAAGGATATCTTATGAAGAAGAGATGCATGTAATTCTTCCGTTCAAGGCGTGTGGTATACCCTATTATTGATCAATGCTTTATCCAATCGCTAAATACAGTAAGCCTTCCCTCAGAAGGTTTATTTCTTCTTCTTCGTCTTATCCACCACATCAATCCACTGCGTCTTGACACCACGTCGGAGCAGCGCTGTTTCCACAGCCTTCCTTTGGTCACCTTGAATAAGGACCTCCATCACGCCTTTGGTGGCTCCAGTGGCCTGGGCAACGCTGGTACTACTAGCGCATTTCTTCTGCAGTTCTTCAGCCAGCAGACTAGGGACTATACCGAAGATCTCCAAATTCGAAACTTTGGTGACAGTTTTCGAACCCGTCCGCTTTTCGAGAACGAGGTGGACCTTGGGAGTTGCACCTGCTTTCGGTTTCACATCGGATGGGGCCTGGCCCTGCCTGAGGATTACATAGTGTGGAGTTAGAAACGCCGAGTCTTCCACGATCCGCTTCAAGAGGCCATCTCGGGTCGTCATGCCACGTGCAATGGTAGTCTTGTCCTCGGCTGATGAAGATGTGAAGATTGTGTTTGCAAGGAAAGGATTGAGCGAGATGATCCGGCGGTTCTCACTGGAGACAATAGGCGGGTTTTGAGACTGAATGTATTCGTCCAAACGGTTGGACACTTCAGAATACTTGTAGTAGTTCCTGGGGTCGCCGCTCGAAAGAGCTGGGAAGATTGTCGGGGTAAGCTTTCCCGTTGGCCGATAAAGAGTCTGAACGGTTATTGTCTGTCCGACAGAAGGGTCTCCCTCCGAAGTTGCAGGCGTCTTGTTTCCGGGGACGGGCTTGCCCGCATTCTCAACGGCGTTCTTTGATGGCAGTTTGTAAGGAACAAATTGCTCGACGCGGCGGTCGTTGAAATCCACATCGAGGATGACAGTTTCTTGTCCGCTGCGGTCTTTAGATTTGACAAGACGCTGTTTATCAAGATATTTGATGAACTTTTTGACATTCTTCCAGCTTGTCTTCTTGATCTGATAGTATTGAGCCTGCTGAGGAGAGTAGATTGGGAGGTAAGGAGTAAGCATGTTCGAGACAAGCGCGGATGGTTGCACGGGAAGGGACAGGCCATGATTCGGTGCGCTGGGGTTGTCCTGTTTCAGTTTGTACAGAGAATACAGGAAGGCTTTCTCAAAAGCCTCGTCGATCTCTGCAGGCTGGTCAGTTTCCGAACGAGATACCGAGAGAGAAATAATGAGCGCCGACCTTTTGTAGAAGGTTCTTTCGCTTCCTCAACGGGAGCTCCCTCTTCATGCTGCTGCTCGGCAGAGTCGACTTGAGGCACCTCCTCCGCAGGTTGCGTCTGCTGATCTTTGTCCAAGGAAAGCTCATTGACTCGCTCCTCAATTTCCGCGACGTCTTCCTCGCCCGCTTCCAAATCCCACCCAGCCAGATATTCAGGAGCAGGCTGTCCAGGACGAGAAGACGAGCTCCAGGCCCACAGCTCATCACCTTCCCAGTGTACGCCTCGGACGGCATGTCCTTTCGTGCCCTGAACCTCCCCAAGTCCCGCAATATCAATTTCGCAGACACCCACAAATAACGGGACAGTGTGTCGGTCCAAACCAGCCACAGCGACAACAGCTCCTTTGACCGCGCGCCCAGGAAAAGGAGGTTCATCAGCGAGGCCAGGGGTCATCAAGTCTGCGCCGCCACGGAGCTTCTGCATGACCATTTCCGGTGTGTGAAGCAAGGGCACTAGGTTGGGATTGTGCCATAATGTGTAAACCGTGGGATAGAATCGTCCATCGGCTCCGGGCCCATGTTCCACCTTGAACCATAAAATGCGTTCCTCGCCCTCGGGATGTGTTCCTACGTAGACTGTGCCTTGGACTTCTCGGAGCTGGGGCCCTGCAGTGGTGGTGAAGCGAGCAGAAAGCGAGTTTTCCGGAAGAAGGGAGTTTCGGATCGCTGTGATGTTGGGCGGCGTTTGGTTCGACGTGGTCGGAGTATTGGAGTCATCCTCGGCTGGTGCAGCTGACGGGATACTGATATTGTAGTCGCTGATGATCTGGTCGGCGATCTTGCGGCGGTCCGAGGATCGCAAGGGCGCAAGGTTCTTGATCTATAGTTTGAGAGTAAGTATGAAGTTGTCATTCTACGACTCGAACAGACTGCCAGCGAGGGGAGAAATGCGGGGGAGGGGCATAACGTACTGTCGGCTTTTTCTTGAACATGTTGATGTGCGCCGGGGCCCAGAAATTTGATATGAGTCTGTCCCAAGCTGCTTGATATTGATAAATACAGCCTGCTCAAAATAGGGCTCGTGGAAGAAGGGTACAAAAGACGCTGGAACAAAAGGGAAATGTTGAGGTCAGTCGGGTTTTGTCCGCAACAACAATAGGCCGCTTTTTCCCCCGCTTCTGAGGTCAATCTTGTCTTGTTTCTCTACGCACTGGTCCAGGCATACGGTACTTGGTGGTATACTCGTCTTCATTACGGAGTGACGTGTGCATATAAGTAGGGCGAAGGGCTTTGCACAAATTCCTTGCAGACGGTGCTGCTGCCGTCTCTTTGCAAAATTTTCCAAACCAGCACTTTCAACTCAAGGATCAAGAATTCAAGATCATTAAATGGTTGCCGTTCACGCCTATTGCACTGGAGCATGCTAGCATTTAACGTAGCCCCGGGATCCTGGTTAACTGTTGATGGAGACAGAGGTGTACTATCTAAAATGTGGCCTAGAACGAAGACGGGGAATAGCAAGACAGATGCAACTTCTCTGTTTGCTACTCCATGCTTGACGCAATTGTCTTGCCTGCTTTTTCTGTGGAAGATGATAAATATCTGAAATAGCCTACAGTGAAATTAATCATTCAAAGGGACAGTTAAGGCCGTTGGCTGAATAACGGGTTAGAAACATCAATGTTCAGAGCTTGTAACCCGAGTAGATTCACTTTACAAGCATTTTACTTTTATTGATACAGATGTAAAGCAAGGGCAAAGAATGATCAGCGTAGAGCAAGAGCTCCAATAGTTATGTTGCTTCTAAAGTACAAAAAGGATGCCCGATCCATATATGTATGTTTGAAAAAGAAAACTCGTCAGAGGTGCGATGCACAAAAGTTACAAGTGCAGGAAAGGGCTTGTCGATTCGTTCGAAGTGCTTTGATCTAGGCAGAGAGATCACGAGCGTGCACCTTCTCGGTAACCAGCCAAGAGAAAGTCTCCTTGAGGACCTTCAGGAACTCCTCGGCGCTGAGAGAGTTGAAGTACTCGGTGAGGCTGCTGCCGCTGGGAAGAGTGCCGCTGGAGCTGGAGCTGGAGCCGGAGCTGGAGCTGCCGGCAGTTGAGCTAGGGGTGGCGGTAGGAGCCTGGACGTAGCTCTGCTGGGCGGGAGTGCTGGTGACGGTGACAGCCTCGGTGGTAGTAGAGGGCTGGTAAACAGTGGCAGAGCTAGTCTGGACTGCAGTAGAGGTCTGGGTGATGGTGGCAGAAGGAGCAGCGGTGCCAGACGAGGCGGAACCACCATTGCTGGAGCTGCCAGAAGAAGCGCCAGAGTAGAGAGCGGGACCAGGAATGTCATAGGAGCTCAGGCTCTGGTAGATATTGACAAGGATGCCGGCGTCAGTGTTTTTGTAGAGCGCAGTGCCGAGGGTACCGGAAGGCTTGTCGCTGCCACCACCGGTGACCTTAAGGTTGATGCACTGAGGGTAGTTCTGGGCACCGTTCTGGTTTCCAGCGGAGTGGAGGGCAATGATTTCGTGACGCATGACATAGTTACCAGCGGCGATGGAGCTGGGAACAGTCACAGTCCAGCTGTTGTTGTTGGCGATTAGGTTGTCGGAGGCCCAGGTGCCAGGAACATTAGAGTCACTGATCAGACCGCTCTCATCAACCTTGAAGAATTCCAGACTGGTCTTATCAACCGAGGCGCAGTCACCATTGCAGTTGGCCATGTAGGTAATGACCTGTACTAAGTTAATACCCTAACCAATTGTTCCATGGATGTCTTACGAAGACATACCGGTCCGTGGTGAGATTCAGGCCACTCAGTCCATTGGAATTCAACCTTTCCACCGGCCTTGATCTCGGCAGAGATGGCACCATTCTTAGCACTCTTGTGGCAGATGATGTCGCCGCTAGAGTAGCTGCTGCCGTCGACGAAACCCAGATCGGTAGCGGTTTCAGACCAACCGATGCTCTCAGGAGGGCTGCTCATGTAAGGGTATTGGTTGACGAGGTATCCAGTGTAGTATTTGCCATCAACAACGGCACCCGTCACAAATCCGTGACCAGCGACCACAGCGGCCGAGCTGAGAAGAACAGCTGCAATCTTAGAGACAGACATGTTGTAGGTTTGTAGTATTGTCGAGACGATCAACGCACAGCGTAATCTTAGGTTCGAATCGAACGAGAGACGAGAGAAAGAATGACGAAATAGGACTTCAGTCAATGAAGTCGATGGAAAAGAATGAGAGAATGGAAGGTGCTGAGACCGTGAGAAAGGAATGCTGATGGGAAGAACAGAACAAAGCTGTCCTCCATCGCGACGAAGACGGTTCTTATATCTCCGAGAAGCATGAAGAACCTATCTAGACCCGGTTAAAGCTCCGAACAGCTATCCAAATTCAAAATGAAGCCGGTTCTGTAAGGTCATCGCAGGTATCTACTCCTTACAGTGTGGACATCGCTGGATTGCTTGGTAGGGCTCCTGTTTGGATTCAGATTCAGAATTATCTGATAGGTGGAGAAAAGTCGAGATAGAGCCACCGCGTTAGAGATTAATGAGAACGAGTCATGTCTGCGATGGTCGGAGACTGAGTGCTCAGAGTATGCATCAGGGGTTAATATAGCACTTCCTGGTAGGGAATAGTGGACACGTCTCTTGTGACAATCCGAGTTTCATCCTGCTTTTCTTTCTCCATTAGCTTAACGTTTCCCCACTCTTGTCTCCATTCTACCGTGTCAGAAAACCGTTATTAGAATAACTGATGATTTTACAACCTGGTGGATCGGTCATATTCATCGATACGGGAATGCTTGTTGTATTGCATTAATTGCAGGCGCCTCGATGCAAAGTCCATTTACCCCTGACACTGACTCGGGTGCCCATTCTCTTCCATGAACGAATCGGCTATGCTCCGCGATCCACATGGACTTTCATTCATCTATGTCAAGCTGATAGAGGCCAGAAATCTTGTCAGAATGGATGAGCTGAGGGCTACTCAATACAGAGTACTTACTGCAAAACGCTCTGGCTCGGCAACGATAGAGTGACTCTACTGTTATGAACCGAGCCGTCCAGACAGGTCTGGCCATCGCATTACCAGATAGGCCATGTCGGGCGAACGAGGTCACTGACGCTTGACCACTATTGTTGTCATGGATGGGCCCCGGTTCTCCATTTACCGGTATTTAGCCGCCAAACCCTCTATATCAGACCATACCAACAATAGATCATGACCTTGTCATTTCCTGAAGCGCCAGCGTTTGTTACTGACAACGTCACTCTTTCTGCCGAGAGCTGCAATCTGCACTTATTGGTGCAGGGAGCTGGGCTCAGGATCAATAATACGCTGCACAGACCCTCCAAAGGTGAGACACCTACTTGGCCTGAAATGAGGCTTTACTTATTCAAGGTGCACCGGTGCTGTGTGAGGTGCTGTGTGATCTGAAACGCCCGAATGCTTCGGGTTGCCGCTGGCCCGCTCTGCCTTCTGAGTCCTAAATCAACCGCACGCATAGAACCGGTTTAGTGTCTTGGATTTCCGACCGAGTCTGCTCCATTTTAATTTCTATCTAGCGTCTGAGGCTCTGGGCTGTCGCTCTTTTTTTCAATCATTCGTCCCCTGAGTTCCCGACGGAGCGCCTCTTTCAAATAGTGGAGCTATCATATAACCCAAGGGATACTGCATCCTCTTCGTCGAAATGGGCGGGGAAAGGCAGATGCTTCTTTTCAATCAAATGGAAACCGCTTGCGAGGATTTGCCTAACATGTGACAGGTCTTGACGACAGTCTATTGAAGAACTCGATTCGTAGAGGAAACAACAGGAAAGGCACCCATCCCCATTTCCATCATCCTAATGCAAGAAAGGGATTCAAAGTTATCCCTATAGCCCAGGATTACAGGCCGGAGGAGGAGCATTCACAAGGGCAATATCAATCGACCCGCGGTCCTATATCCGTAGCAGGGATTGAATCACCATTTGCCTGGAAAGGAAGTCGATGCAACTATGTCTCAGAATTTGAGAACTGACTGGAGTAGAGTCCATCGCTGCCTCCACTCTATGAAGGATGCTGAATTGGCGGTTCATCTGATAGTCGGTTAATCCCACAATTGCCAGACAGGCCAAACTCCTGAGAAGACGAACTGAGTTCTTGGCTACAAAGCCTCTTGTAGCAGCGCGCCTCTCGGTCCTCCAGAGACTAACCTCTTCGGATTCCAGACTGCTTCGGACGGACACATCTGCTGAATACAGTGGCAGCAAGAGTGGTGCAATTTTGGAGTATGAAGGCAGTGGCCTTTCAATGACTTGGAAGTGAGTAAAAGCTTTGAAAGCTGTGCTCGCCGTTGTAGTATACAATTCCCAATGCTGTCGAACCGGGCTTACGGGACTGCACGGGTGATGACTCCGTTGGCTGTGACGCCAGTGGATGTGGTGAGCAAATGACTAGGGCAATTAGCTTAAAACTAAGCGATGATTCCGGAACATTGCAGGGTATATGGACCTACCATTGTCGGTTCCCTCATCTTGACTGAATACGAAGCTGGCCTGGGTCGAGGTAGACTATATCGCGGATATTCCGCATCAGCGACCTCAGGTCCTGGATCAACTTACGAACCTTTCGATTGTCGACGGCTTCTTAGATAGTTGAGATCAGAATGGGACAGATGCGATCAAGCTCGCGTTCCATCAGCGTAGTCGTTTTCTGACGACTCGAATGACACTAGGATCCATGTACTTGGGAATTAGATCAACCAGGAAAATCTCACTATCCCGTCCGAATGGCCATGACCTCAGTGAAGGACGTCTCATATGCAGTCGGTTGAGATCTTCCTCTACAGCCCGATGATCTGGTCCTTACTATCCCCACAAGCCACCAAAGCTACCTGCTTTGCCATTTTCTTCAAGCGAGCTGCTTGGGGCGGAAGGACTGGAAGGTCGCTTGTAGGGTGTTTCAGGCCTCTTCGACATCTGCATCTGCTTCCGAGGCGTAGGGTAGCATACTGCT